GGGTTCGGTTATCTGAATTAAGGGTACGAAATTAAAATTGAGCATTAGGTAATCTCCTGTCGCGGGATTTGTAACAGTTGTAGAAAATTCAGCGAGTGATAGATAGTATAGACTTCAGGGGGTATCATCGCAACTATGATTGGGCCAGAACAAAAAATGATTTATTTGATTACTAGAAAAAACCAGTTAATTAATCACTAATCTATTAAGTGGGGGATATTTCGGTACATTATAGATTCATTCGCATTTGAGTCACCGATGCGTGGTCCATAGTAAGCGCTTGAAATCATTCGGGCCCAGTCCTTTGATCGCGGGAGCATCAATCTGCACTTACAAAAAAAAGTTAAAAATCGTTTGGCTTTGGATAATGGGTTTGTCATCCGTGCAGTTAAAATTAAACAGAGATTCAGGCTCCGGATTAGCAAGAGCGATTACGATAGTTAACGCGAAAAAAACTTCTAGTGCGCATCCTCGAACTTTACCGCTTGGATAAGTTAATACAAAGAAGCGAGTTAATTCAATTTGTCAGTTTATTACACTAGAAGAAAGGATTATTCTATAATCGGACGAAATAAAATCTATCGTGAAATATACGCACGTTTTAGTAGCATAAATGAAACGACCGTATTTTGACCAAGGACAAACTAATTACCCGCGCCAGTGTTGTTAAAAAATTCAGTGTAGTTATTTCACTGCTAGTGAAACAAAATTGTGGACTGATCTGTGTAGTCGTTATACTCAAATTGTTCTACACATCTGTACAACAAAAAACATTCACGAACACGTAGGTACTTAATGTGTAAAATTTGGATTTCGTGAAAATTTCTTCTTTTGGTGGTGAACAGTTCATAGTAATTTATAAAACCCGTTAATAACAACTTTTAACATTCATCGTAAGAATTTTGCTTTGTTACAATCTCAACCAAGAAGTTCATCGTTCAAAGAAGCTACGCCAAGAGAACAATTGATTCGCCTGAGAATGTACTGCAGTCTTTTTCCGACGGAAACCTAGCTTGTTCCTTTGTCATCTATGACGGATTTTTTTTATATGAGGTACTGCCATTTTATTTATGCAGAAAGTTAAGGACTGTATCGTCCTGAGTTAAAATATTGATTGAAGTTTAAAATTGGATCTGTGTTTTCTTAAGTGACCCAGGAGCTCCTTTGCTATATTTGTTATAGACTTACAGACGGACAGGAGCTACTGAGTATATATTATAAATCCGGAGGTCCCTGGGCTGAGGTAAGAAGTTTTTTCATCTGTAACAGAGATGGGATAGAACAACTTAAGATCATCTGTAGAGGCACTTCTAAAAAGCATTCTGCTCTCTAATTGGGTGCAAGCCTGTTGAGGGCCCATAACAACAGAGGGATAATAAATAAATAATAAATTAATTAACTGCGGTTGAAATCTCGGCAATAACAATAGCTAGAGACCAAATTTTCACTAAAAGTTTTCTGCTATAGTGTAAATGTGCAGGCTCTAGTTTTGAGTTATGTAGATTACTCGTGAGATCGATAATTAAAAAAAATTATTTCAATATGGAGAAGTAAACAAATACTGCGCCAAGAAAATTTACTGTCACGGGAAAACAACGTATGACAAATATACTGGCACGAGAATATATTGAGATCTATGATTTGGCTCGAAACTTATTTGAAAAATATGTAGCAATATCATTTACAACAAATTATTATGCTATTATATGTGGCCCGACACTAGAACAACATTGGGAGTATGTATATATTTTACACTTTTTTCGAAATAAAATAACAAATTTTATTTAAATTTTATAAAGAAAGCTTTTAATAAAGGTTTGATTTGTCGTTTTGAACTTTTCTAATAAAATACTAATCTGTAATACCAAAAATGCGCTTAATCATCCATATACTGATTTACATCTGGTTTGTTAATTTGTAAGTTTGCCGGTATAGGGAATTTTAAAAGTACCGCTTCATAAGGAAAGAGAACGGAACTAATATGCTAGAAAATGAAGCGCGTTAAGATAAGAATAGTGTTGTAGTAGTCTTGACAGAGAATGAGAGACGGTGTTTCTGCTATACCTTCGATGTATAAAAGAGAGAGTGAATGCTTGGTTTTCATTGGGGTGTATGTGAGATACTGATGCTGTTCTTCATTTATGTTGATGTTAAATATGTTCAGTTCCAGGATTCCAGGGTTGACAAGTTGTGACAAATAGTGTGCAGTGCATTTTTCTGAGAATTTGGAAAAGTGTTTATTGTGTGTTTAGGTGAAGTGTGGTGGTGGGAATACGTTTCAGTGTGGGCCAAGGGGCATTGAGACAATTATAAAATGCCGGTGAACTATTTAAAGGGAAAACTTCGGTAGAGCTACTTGTTCAATGCCGCACAGTTTACACTAAGCGTCCAAAAACCCCTACTGCACCTGAAGAAGTGCAGGAACCAACTCGCTCATCGACCACGGGCTTCGACTTCAAGCCCCACTGCTTGTTCTGCGATCGATTGGTGGATATGTTTATCACCCAGACCGTATGCCTTTCTGCCAGGTGGGGTTTTTAGAAGTATTCGTGAGTCAAAATACATGATCAGTGAGGTGAGAAGGTCACCACAAAGTTATGCGCGATTTCAGACTTAGTGGCAGCTGAGGGTCGATGCCATAGGGAGTGCTACCATTATTTCAAGCGTGTTGGGTCATCCCTTCCAGACTCATCTAGTGCACAGGGCAGAACATCCGAAGCAGTAAAAAGTGCAGGTTTTGATAAATTGTGGTTGAAGAGGATTGTGATGATTGCCAGTATACTCATCCGACCCACGATCACTTACAGAGAAAAGCACCTTAAGTGACAGCTGGTACAGTAGCAAAAATGCGCACACTCAAAAGTGAGAGGCTGAGGATCACCTTGCAGCAGCTCGCTTTCTTCGTCAGAACATACTGTCTAAATCATATAGACATTTCAAGAGGTGGTCTCTTCAATATTATTTCTAGAGGAACTAAAAAAACTAAAAAACGCAGCAACAAAATTCGAATAGACAGAGAAACTCATTAGCCAGTGATAGTTTCTGCTCTTTGTCCGTGCTCTTTTCTTTCCCCGCTCTTATTTGGATGTTGATGTAGAAGTGTTATCAAAGTAGCTAATTCTGTAATTATTTTACGCTCGTTCCAGGTAAATTCCAGATGTACACCTGGTATCCCGAAACTGAAAATATTTAACATTCTAACATATTAAAAACAATAGAAAGTCGTTTAGTATTTAAAAATGGCATCCTGCCATCGCTTATCTCTTTCAAAAAAGGTGCCACGCGATCCCCCTTTTAATTTATAATGTTCGTGAGGATGCTAGAGGGAGTAATACTTATTGTTATAGTATAATAATGTCAAATTAAGAATATAAATTGAATTGTTCCATTTTTTTCCCAAACTAAGAAAATATGAAACTTCTGAATGATTTCTTTACATTGACAAAAAATACTATAAAAAACCCATTTGAATAAACCATTAAACACCCATTTCACAAGAAAATGTGCAAATACGTAATAAAACTGCGGTAAGTAGTAAATGGCTAAATAAGTCGTTTTTTCTAGGATCTGTTATAAAGGTAGACTTGTATGATACCATTAGTAGAGGTATTTATAGTAAGAAAATGTACGGAATGCTGTTTGCTCCCGGGAAGCACCATTTCCAAATGTGAGATGAGAAAATAATTGTGCGTAGTGTATACGATTTATTAAAGCGCTAGATTTGCAAAATAGGTTGTTTGCATTGAATAATTATTGAAAGACATGTATCCAATTCCAGAACAATTCTGCAGCGGCATTAAGAGACTTGCTGAGGGTAGTGCCAAAAGAAATCTCAATTGACAATTTTCATCAATTCCATACATTACAATGAACCGTTAAAGAACTCGCTCGCTCATCATTTCTCATTAATTCAAAACAGGTCCGTAAAATAGTAGCTTTACTGGCGTTTTTTGGGCAGATTTCGCAAAAATTCTTAAAAAACCCGCAAAAAGGGAAGAGTTGTACATAATCATGCCAGTATATAATTCCGTTGTGATGTCACATTCCGCGAATGTTAATTGACTCTACAAAAGGGTACGACGTCCAAAATTGCCATAGTGGAATTTTAATTCATTACTTTATTATGCTTCCTCTGAAGGTGCCCACATATTTACGAAAATGAAGTAATTTATTGCGCCTATCTCGCGTTACTCATCTAATTTTCCGTTCCCTGTGAGTTTATGCGAACCGCCAAGAAAGGAAGTCCCCGTAGAGCAGTAGAGAGAAGAAAAACTGTATGAATCAATAAATTTCCGAAGAGATAAATTTCAAAGGAAATATTTATACGCGTTATGGCGGTTATATAAAGTTGATTCAGTTTTAATTGGAATCTGGAGTGTTATTGACAACAAACGTAAAGCTCTCCCACAATCCAATAATACAATCTTTGCTTGACATCAACATACAGATACCGCAATATAATACGAAAGTATGGCCGCTACGTTTTAATTGATGTGAGACAATGAAGAGAACAATTTGATTTGTTGGGAATGTTGGTGAAAGACATAAAGTATCTTAGCTAAGGCTCAACAGGTTTAATTGAGCATTCTCATGGCTCTGAAGTTAATGAGAAGGGCGTTTTAAATTTTTTTGCTTTTCGGCTAAGGAAAATTTGTAATATTGTTTAATGTTCAATATACGAACAAAGGAAGATTTGTTCTGTACACAAACAAATATAGAATAATAAATCTTTGAGACGTTGGTTGAATTAAAATGAAATGGTGGAGATAAACATTAAGAAACGGGTAAAGTAATGAAATTGTAAGGGTAACTTTATTATCATTTGTGTATAAAAGCTACAAGACAACTACATATTTAACTGCATACACTACGGCATAAACTTTCCTCTAACACCAAAGCGTGGAATCAAATAAATCGTACAGCAAAATACACCCAAAAAAGGCATGCACGTGCTAGCTTTGTATCTAAACATCTTGGTTTTCTTGATGTGACACACTCACCTTGTGAAGACGGCGGCGATAAACCACGCAAGTAAGCAAATGAACGACGCTCTCGCCTTTGTGCATATGTAACCGGCCTTTAAAGGCTTGCAAATGGCGTAGTAGCGCTCGAAACTTATCGCTAATATGGTCAGTACAGATGCGTGAGCTACTGTCAACTCCACAAAAGGAACTGCTTTACCTGCAAACAAAAAGACATCGTTTAATTGACATGTTGATAAAGCATCGTGCAATTAATCTGCTAATCATCAATCGCCCTTTTGGCACTTTGACCATGATACTAGTCATTTTTGAGCATGCATAGTTGAAGGGGTAGCACTGACAACCAGAATTAGATGTGTTTATCATTTGGGCTACAGTGTCCCAAAATTAAAAGACGTGGAAATAATTAGAATAATTGGTCTATATTGGATTGGAAACCCCTTGCATGCGTATACCTTCCTAAAATGCGCGATCATGTTAGATGAGCAAATTTAAATTCAAATTTTCAAATAGAAAATCTCACCTGCGTGCACCTATGCTTTTTTTTTACAATTCAATCAAAGCAAGTCGCTAGGGGTAGTATCAGATTATAGGAATATAAATTTTGTAGAATTCATTTAATTACAATATACTTAAGGTATCTAATGCTTTTTATAGTGAAATGTCTTAATTTATAGATACGAAGTTCCATGCAAACTTATAGACGCCTGTTATTAAGCTTGACTCCGTAAACTCAATCCACGATTAGTTTAGAGATTGAAAAAAACTCAATTTGCCAATCCTATTTATTTTCTTACGATGGTAAAATTCTATTTTAGATTTTTGCTTAACATTTTTTATGACGTTTTGATTTAAATTTTCTCCTTATAGCCTAAACCAGTGGTTCTCAAAGTGGGTGCCGCGTTTTAAATACACAATTAACTTAAAATTACATAAATTAAAAAAATTATAAAAAATGAATTAAGTAGGTATTTATTTTTTATTACAATTTTATGTTTTAAGTTTCTATTTTGTATATTTCTATGGTTCATAATTCCTTAATCAATCGTACACTAGTATTGCATTCCGTCTCAGTTTCTCACTCTTATAATCTTGTTAAGTACGTTATCAGTGTTATCACCTTACGATTTTATTCCGAAACTATTAAATACGCTTTAAGTGCGTATATTAGTCAATTTCAAAGACACATCGACGATTTTAATGCCATATTTCGTTTCAAATGGACAAATTCGCTTAAAACAATTGTGGGCCAGGCGAGCGGATCGAACTCGCCTTCGGTTGCGGAGTTTTACGCATGAGATGATTTTACTCCCGTCCAAAACAAGTCACCTTAACAAACAAGAGAGAGTGATTGAGAATGAGATCAGGGCACGTCTTTCAAAAACACGACATAATAATTAAGGGAAAACATGCAAACCCCATCAGGAGCATAAGTTCACATTTGAAACAGTAATTTTTGTTTTAAATGTGTTTGTGTTTAGACATAGACATACCTTCAAAAATTATTTTTTAAAGACCTCATCCTTCATATCTGTACTAACTGTAAAAAAAATACTTAGGGGTGTCGAAAATTTTGTTTAATAATTTTAGTATGCCGCCAGGCAAAAAAGTTTGAGTAACACTGGCATAAACCATCAATTCTTTATTTTTATGGTGGGTTTATACAGACACAGTCATTATCATTAGTTCACTAAGCTCAGGATGGTTTCGTTGGTTAGCAACGCGCAATACACCTTTATTTCTATTGGCTATTTCATAATGATTTTTGATAGAGTGAACTAATGATAATGATTGTATCAACCCACCATTATGATAATTAAAAGAGTTAGTCGAAAATGGCTATAAACTTTACCTTGGTCCCAATTTAATTAAGATTGCATTTCATTGCTGTGTGAGAAAAATGGGCTTGCGCTACGTCTAATTCAAGTCAGAATTCAGGTAGTCCATATTTCTAACAAACGGTTTCCGAATAATAATTACCTACTTCATAAACTTTAGTAACTATACTCATATTTAGTTTGGTTGGCAACCATGGCGTTAGAGCTTATTTAGGAAGTCAGAGGTTTCATTTTTTATTCTATCGTTTTATTTCTTTTTAATCCATCGCCTATTTTTTTGTACGTTTGCGGTTTGTTTACCCGTGTAGGGCCGGGAAAGAATAGCCCTACTGCAGAGACACTGCATGTCGTAAAAGGCGACTAATCAACGGAGGATTGCCCAACGACGAATTGTTTAAAGCAGTTGGTGTAAATGTACTGGATGATAACTCATTGAGAGGGATTTGTTAGCTTCTCGATAATCTGTGATAGATTCTGGGGTTGCTGCTCCCAATGTTAAGTTCGACACTTTATTTGTGGTGTAGCGAGGGGTGAACGGCAATTATAAGATCATCTGGGGTTAAACCACAGTAGTGGTATAGTCGCTTGTGCAAGCTCGCTTTATTGTTAAAAAACGTCCCGGGTGGACTTTCGGGATATGTGCGAGTATAGTTTATTTTTGAAATGATTCCGTGATTCCATCTTTGTCGATGTAGATGAACGCTATCTACACCGACAAAGATGGAATTATCGAATTCTTCGATTCGTTTCGATCCATTTAAAAGTTTTTAAAAACCCTTTTTCATGTAACTGTAAAATGTTTCAACATCCCCTTTCGGCTGTTTGTGTTTAAAAATTGGGGAGCATGCAACCACCGCCGCCGGATTACATTCTGCATTGTCGATGTAGATAGCGTTCATCTACATCGACAAAGATCGAATTCTTTGTGTATTATTCTGAATGATACACTGGATGTGACGTACCCATACCCACTACCACAACGTATCAGCTCGCGGGTCAGAGGCTCCACTAGTCTCAAGCCTCCGAGGAACAAAAGGGCATTGCTGGACTGCCGAGTTTGGGAATTTCATTCCGACTATTTGGATACGTATAATTACCTGTATTAGCTGCACGACTAAAACCGTTCGATTGAGCGGAGCCTTCTCTTGAATTTTGACAGCGGTCTCGTATTTTTCCGATGTCGGAGAAAGGCGTAATTAATTAAACGTTGAACGTATCGAAGGTATAAGCGTAAGAGATGGGAAATCCAGTTTCTCCCTACTTGAAATGGCAGAATGTAAGGTAAACGCTTGATTTAGAGGGGAACGTATTTAAATCATTGATTTTTTGCATTTTAGCGTTTAACCGAAACGTAAAATCTTTCTCTTTTGCATCTTTTGCCTTTTGTGTTTCAACCGTATTAAATTTGGATATTTTCAGTAAATTTTGTTTTGCTTCAGATTTTGTTTTAGTTTTTCCGGAGTGACCGCCGCCATTTACTGAGCCTGTACGATTCCTAGAGTTACCGTTCACTCCAACAAGGTGCGAGGCCGTTCGCTTGGTGGCGCTCGAGTCCATCCTTCCGACCGCCCATCCCTTCGTTCCGCCGACAGAAAGAATAATTTGTACCTATATTGATTTATTTTTCTTTTAAACTAAATGGTAATTATTATTCCGGTAATACTTCGAATGCATATTTTGGAAATCACTTTCCTAACTGCATTGTAATTTACTAAACACCATTAGCACCTTTACATAACGGCATTTCACATAACTATTGCAAGGTGTGTTCTTCAAATGCATTTTGGGAAGGAAAAGTAAGGAAAATACGTGCCCCAGGCTATATTTCATCCAAAAGGTATTGGTAATCTCAAAAATATTTGAAAGCTGATGATTTTTAGCTGGAACAAATGATAGGTACGACAAATAGAAAAATCAAAACAATAGCCTGACGTAAAATTATAATCACAGCTTTTAAGGTTCGATGTCGCTGAAACTCGCTTGAGATTTTGATTCGGATTCACATATCTTCTCGCTAATTTATACCAAATTATGATTTTATTTTTTAAAAAGTCAACGGAATGACAATAAAATAGACTGGACACAAGAGCTTACAAAACCATACAAAACAAACAAAATTATTAGCAGTAATACCCATATGCACTGTTTATAAATAACTAGCACTTCTGTAAAGATGCGTTTTGCTATTTCAAAGGCAAAGCGGGGTCAAATTTAGCTACATATCCTTGCAACAGGCTGAACATTCTACAGGTTCTGTAGATTCAGAAGCCAAACCGATGAATCTACTATTTATACCCTCTAAATATGGGTGTACAATTATATATTTTGCCATTATGTTTGAGACTGGTAAAGCTTGCAGCATGTTAATGATAAAAATAACTGTTGCTAGGGTAAATGTTGCAGATTAGCAGTATTACGAAATGGAGAGTATTTTCAGTTTTCCTAGAATAGTCGAAAAATTTTGACTCTTATCTTTGACGCATATCAAAGTATATCAACTATCTAAAGGATTGAGCTTTCTTTGAGTTTATAACACTTCTTTATATATTGTGGCCATACCATTACGTAATCGTTATTGCTTCCTTATAAGTTTTAGAAAAGGTGTAGATGCGAATCAAAACAAATTACTAGCATTGTATTATGCTGACTCAGCAAAATAGGATTTTAAATGGGGCACAATTGAACATGTCCTCGTTTTGGACGCATTACACTGCAAATGAACCCTAAAATCTATAATTAAATTCAAGCGCATACTATTAAATTAATAACTGCAGAGCAATTACATTGATTTAACTTTAACATACAATTCGACGCTTTGATTATCTTTTATGAGCCTACAAATGCCGTTACGACTGAAGTTTAAATTAACCGATCAATGTGTTGCAAACATCGTCAATTTAAATTGAGATATGGCTATTACAGGGTAACACAACTTGGAATAGCGCGGCGGAGTTGTTCAACTGTATTGTAATTTCGTGAGAAAGGTTCTCTTTTACACACATTAGATATGTTAAAGACCGATAAAACGGACTCTCGCAAATTTGTCGCAATGGTCGAACAAGTGTGTGGAATTACAAATAAGAGCATGTACGGTAAAGATTTTACATTTACAGATCAGAAACCTCCTGCGAGCATTTTTAATCCAAAAAGGAGATTGCAAAGATGGCAACAAAGAACCTGCAAGAATAGCCTTAACTGCTTTATTACCCCGAATCGATAAATTCTAAACGCCATCAGCTTTTTAAGTTAACAATGAGACGTACTTCGTGGCCGTTTCTATGGGTATCACTAAAGATTCAATGTAACGTGTAAAAATAAGAATGCAACGCGATATCGTGGCTTATGATGCAGTGCAGCGACATTTGCATAAGTATTTATTCACGTGATTAGAAAGGAAGTCGTTTTATTCAATCGCTATAATATAAAACAACCAGGCGCCACTAGTGCGTACATTATAACGGGTTTAAATTCCATACATATCCCAAGTTTTTCATATGAAAGTTTAATATAAAAATAAAGCAAGAAAATAAAAGATGTCGCTCGGAAGATATAAGGTGGCGCAACTTGGCGCGCCCACGCAACGGCAGCATATGAGAACCCATATCAACAAAAAAGTTTTCGCATTTCGAATTTCGCGAATGTTTAACGTAGCCTGAAAATATTGAGAGGAATATTAAATGGTTTAAGAATTATAACAAGCACTTTAGGATATTTGTGTATTCGACCGCCTTGATTCTTCGAAATTATAGATTCTGGTTTGCGCCGTCCACTTCCGGTTTTATCTGAAATGCTAATTTAAACCCCGAAATTTATCTTTCGCGTTAATTTTAACGTTTCCGCTTTTGTTTGTTTCTGCGAAAACATGGGCGTCCTATGAAAGTCACGTTAATTTTGTACTCATCCTTATTCTATATTTCTACACATATGTGAAAGTAGAACAGAAAAAAGTACACCTTACATGTGAAACAGTTTTATTTATTATCGGGCAATTGTGGAAATGAAACTTTATCTAGTGATTCAAATGGTCAAATTCAAAGATACTAATGACTTTTTTTAATTACCGATGGAAATGTCATTTTAAAGCCCTTCACAATTTACAATTTTCGGTTAATAGGAGAAATTTCTCAACATTTCTCGAATCCCTTCCCATTTCGGATAAAACGCTGTATGATCAAGTCTGTCCAGAAAATTTCGAACGTATAGCAACGATTTTCTGGAGCGAGTACTAATTACTCATCTAATTACCCTAGTAATACATTTGTATTTGTGTCGAGTTGTTATTATTTCTGCTGGTTACTAAGAAAAGTTATTATAGGACTCCCTCGGAAAAGCTCTAAATAAAATATGGTTAAGTCGCTAATACAAAAAATTCACTTTTATGTTTTATGACTTATCCATCGTCACGCAGCTTTCTCACATACTGAAGCAAAAATAGAAACTGCGTGTAAGTACTTAAAAAAATATTTTTATCTGGATCAGGACGCTCGTAAAGATTGGTATAGTCTTCTAATGCCAAGGGCTGGAAGGTTTGGAAGTTCTTTCAAATATTGGTTCCGGTTCTATAGTTTTATTAAAATTTATTTTTATAGGTTCTGGTACCAGTTTCGGTTTGCCGGATACACTAATTTTCGATTCCGGTTCCAATTTTTTTTGGTTCCCAAAGGGCTCTGGGAGTAATAAAAATTAAAGTATTTAATTACTGCTCTGACCATCTTTTTACACACATCTTTTTGTTTCTTTTTTCGTGCTGTTTTTTAACGTCTTCTGTGTTTAGAGTACATGCTTCATCAACCGCCTATGATACACCTAAATTAGTTACCGAGCATTATTAGAGTGTTAGGACACTTGTTCATGTAATTCCCATATTTCTTGCATCGGAAACATTGTGCATTTGCAAATTTGTCTTTAGGCTCATCTCTCAAGGAGCCTTATCTGGACAAATGTGTGTATAAAACTGTTATCGGACAAATTAATTGGCCAGGTATGATAACAGGACCCCTGCATGATAAGCGCTACTTTTATGTGGTAATACATTTTTGTCAATTTGAAGTCCAATTGAAGATCCAGGTTCAATTCCAGAAATTGCAATTGAGACATTTTAAGAGGAGCTTAGGACGCATTTAAAAGGAAATTGTTGAAAGGCTGAGGGAAACATGAAGATCATTAAAAAACTTGAAAGGTACTCAAGCAGAAATTCAAAGGAGCTTGAGATGAACTTTAAGATAATCCAAAAGAAATTGATAGAAACGTACAGAAGCTTGAGAGGAAATGTGAAGGAGTTTACAAGAGCTTGAAGCACACAAATATCACCGAGAGACATAGTATAAACTTTGTACGCTTACATGTACCTATGTACCTACCTAAAATATTATTTATGTATATATGTTAAATGTAAAATAATTTTATCGTATAATGTATATTTATGTTGTATGTTACTTTGTATGTTACTTTTATATGTTATGCTTGACGTGCCACAAACACACCTACCAGACATGTAACGTGGTAAATAATAAATGAAATGAAATATTTTTGGGAAGGTGAATTTGACTTAAGAAGGATTTGAGAAGTTAACCTGATGTAATTTGAGGACAAATTGAGCGCAACCTGAAAAGAACTTTAGAAAAAGGAATTTGGGAGCAATTGAAAATATTTTTTAGGAACTTGAGAGGAGCTTAAATAGCTTGAGGTAATTTTGGTTTAAGAAGTAATTGGTAAGTGAACGTGAGAGCAATTTGATGGAACTGGATTTCACTAAAGAAGAATTTGATGGGAACTTTAAAATGTAAGTTGAACTTGAGAGATACTCAGAAGGAAATTTAAGGAAGCTTGAGGGGATTTTAGTATTAGGGAATGTAAGTGGAACTTGAGCCAATATCGTTTTTAATGAAACGACACGTATATTTTTAGATATTTTGAAAGAAAATGATGTTCTAGATAAAAATCTTCAATACATACATTAATTAATGACAGTGCTCTAAAGCATTCAATAAGAAATGGAAAAAATTAAATGGAAAAAATTCGGGTGTCACCACGATGTTTATTAAAAGGTTGGCAATAGTTATAGTATATTTAAAATGCCTGATTTATAATAACATGCATTCAGCCATAAGTTAGCTATACCTTTCTGCTTTTATTAATTCATCGTTTATTATGGGAGCACAAATTTGGAGCCTATGGATAAATATTACGGCTGACGGCAACTTGTGTCCCTTGTCTATAAAACTGTTTGTTACAAATTTTTGAAACCACTTAGTATCGTTGCTTTAATTTTTGAAAATAAATTGCACAAAACTATGTCTGATACGTTATGCGGATTTATTTTCTATAAAACCCAAATTGAGCGAAATTGGTAACATTAAAAAAAAAATTAAAACGCGTGCTTTGAAAAACCCGTGTACTTTATGGGCAATTAATGTAGTCTTCCGTAAGCTAATGGCATTTCAATTAATTGAAAAAAAGTTTTAGGTATCTCTTAATTATAAGAAGCAAGTAGGGAATCAGATAACAAATACCGCATAGCTATAATTGAGAAGCTAGGTTTGCGTTTCTAGAGCCGACAATCATTTTAAATGGAGATTTCCGATATTTTCCCATTCCCACTTTGAAAACGGCGGTGTAGGTAAGCACAATTAAACCGACATCTTTATATGATCGCATAAGTAATGTTACCCTGAATGGGTTAATGTGAATTTACCATTTTCATACAATCCTGCGTTAAAAACTTGCACGATTCCTTTTAAGCTTGAGGATACACGAAGATAATTTGTTCATTGAATTTGTCAGTCCCTTTTTTCGACGGCTCATACATTATTTGCAATTTCTTGTACGGTATACATAATGAAAAAGATTCAATAAATATGTTATAATAGAACTTCAACTTAACTTAACCTGTTCCCGTTTTGTACGACGTATTTGTACAGCTAGTCCAGTAATTTATAATAAATACATTTGTGATGAAAGGGTAATTATGTTATACAGATTTCGTCTTTGAACTATCGTTGGTTAGACGTCTTTGATCTGTGCGACATGTTTTCTTCATTAAATCGTTAATCATGGCAAAATACAATTACAATCGCCCAAGTTGAATAAACTTTGAAATAGTTAGTCTTGACCTTTGAGTCTGATGTTACTTAAAAGCTCTGGCAACGTGAGCAAGCAAAGGAAGGACATAAATTTCTCTTCCATTGACATAAAGGAAGTGTTTTTCAATATAATAGCTATGTTTTGTGTTAAAACACTCCAAAATCTCTTTGACATATATAGGTACTAGAAATCAACAATTTTTTTATTAAGGAAGACTCCGAAAAGCATAATAAATAGGGAGGTGAAAGTACTTACATTTATCTTCTCTAATATATCGTTTGGAAGACAGCCAACGAAGTAAAAGTTCAATGCTTATCCGACGCCAGATGAGCTGTATAAAAGAAAACCTAATAAAATTTTGCAAATGGCATATAATGCGAATTTCAGACGACAAAGTGCGTTACACCGCTAACTAATGGCGGACCACCAGCATAGGCTGCAAAGTAAATAAACTACTCAAACTGTTCAATAAAAATAGTTACCAATAAATCAAAAATCCAATGTCAGAGCGTTAAAATAGCATTAGCATTAAAATTGCTAATGAATTATTGATGCCCGTGGACGAGTAGCGTACTGTTTACCAAACGCGATGATAAATCGCAAACTATTACAAGCTAATAAAAATTTCTAATTATAACTGAAAGCCAATAGAATCGATTGAATTTATGAGGAGCTTATTGCATTTTTTCATAGTTCACTGCACTGACATGTCATATTCTAGTTAGTAGGTCTCTAAATATTCGATTCGTGCTTCGTGTTTCTCTTCCACTACTATAAAGTGTCACTATTCCTCCCGAAGGCATTAAAAGGCAATAAGAGACAGTAAACAATTTAAGAATGAGTGGTTACTTCAAATAAATATTCTTGTTTTTGTACCACATTTCATAGTCATTATACCGTTTCCCAAATATTTTTTTGGATTTAGAAAGCAGTAATTTCCACGTAACTTCTTCTGTGCGACTTTAAATTATCATTTCTGCGCAGTTGTCTTGTATAATAATCTTTAAATTAGACTAGCATTTAATTTTCTACCGTAACAATCGTAACATTTCAAAATATCTTTAATAAAATAAGGGGTTAGTACAGGCTTCGGAAATTACATCCCCGGAAGCAAAAGAATAGCGGATCCTGTTGACCTGTTGGTTGCATCCCTTATTCTTTAATCACAACACTACCATTCTTCGAGACTTTTCATACACGAGACAAATTGAAACACCTGATATCTTTCGTCCCTTCCACACTGTATTTTTTTAAAGGGTAGGGTAGGTTAGGTGCGATTTTAAAACAGTCAAGGTGGGCGAAACTTTTGCGTAATAACATTTTAATATTCAAATCAAAAATGACATAGAAAACGAGGAACATCTTCAAGGAAAACAGATGGGAAAGATCGACTGAAGATAACGCAGAAAACACTGTGTACGAAAGTCATAGAACTAGAAATAGGCATTTGATATGATCGAGTAGGTATATGCTTAGAATTTCCCCTGAAAGATTCTAAGCTAACTTTTCAGAAAGATATTGTTGGGAAAGTTTTTCTTCTTTAACTGTTACTTAAAAATATTCTTTAAAACCTCCGTTTCCATATCCGTTGAAGACCTTATGATTGGGATAATATGGAATTTATACGTGTTCCTATCAATTTTATACAAGACCTCTTCACACATCTTCTAGAAGATCTCTTTATAAACCATTTTGATGGGTTTTTGAAAATTGTAAGAATACTTTCTAAATCTCCTTAGAGATCCTCTTAGATATCTTCGGAATCTTTCTACAGACACATTTTACTATTTTTCGTGTTATGTCTTATGTAGGAACTATTTCAGAAATATTATAAAGAACCTTCTTCCCTTCCCCTAAAAGTGTCAGTAATATTCTAGAAATGTGTGTAAATCTTCTCGGAGATAAGGATATACGGAAACTCAGAAACTTCAGATATTGTCTGAATATCTTCTATAAACTGTGCAAACGTCGTTGAGATAAGGAAAACAGACATTTTTTTTAAAAACCTTCTTGGGAGTATCAGATTTTTTAAGGAATTTTCCTAGAAAAAGCTTCTTACCCATATTTCTTCCTTCAAGACACAAATTATAGCTTATTAGTAATCAAACCAGAACTTTTGTTGTAGTAAAAACGAAGTAGAAAATTTGACAAGGGAATATACAGAGCGTTACATCTAGGTATGTAAAAAAATGTGGCGATAGAGAGGATCAAACCAAGCACATTTTTCCAAATAAACCAGAACGTGTTTCGTTTGGGAAAAAAGTGGTGAAATTTGCATTTCTTCCTTAATTTTTCTCCAACCAAAAGAGTTAGAAAGACTTGTGGTACGTCGTTGAATAGGTTTTGGAGTATGCCCTTTTCTATCTTATTTAATAACAAACAATCGATCTTTTAATAAGCATTTTAAATTACGTTTAAGTTTAAGGTATGTATTTTAATCGACAAATCGATTTTTAGGGAAAAAAATCCTGTTATGTGAAGGTTTTGTCCGTCTGTTCCTCGTCTAACTCGTGAACGAAAAGAGACAGCGCCAATCGATTTCTACGAGTTCAATGATCTGTGCCATTGAATATGAGCCGAATTAAAAGTCTGGTTAGTGGTTTCCGAATGCGAGCTGAGTGACAAAAAGTTATAAAGTTCGCCTACTAAAAATAGTATGTGATTCTTCGTATCTTTTCTTAATATCATGTAGTGATCGTGATCATGGGTTTTGTAGATTTTGATAAGAATCTTACACGACCCACGATACGAAATCAGTAGACAACCCCTTATATAGGTATTACTAGAGAGTTTAAAAATTTTGCAAGAGGATTTCCAACAAAACCTTTAAAGGCATTTTCGCTAGCAGGTAATCTCTTCAGTTATTAAAGTGTTAGAGTTACGACGTTTTATATTAAGACCAAGTGGACTCATCCTTGGAGAGTTCTTTTTCCCAAAACTTGGGACTAATGCCAAAAATTAACACGAAAAAAGTTCCATTTCGTTTTCACTGTGTATAAATAATCCACAAAAGTATACTAATTCTACACTTTAGTACATTTTAGAGGGAAGTTTAGTATAGAGGTCGATTTTTTCTGCCAGTGGCTGAATTTTAAATTGTTCTTTTCTAGAAATATGTATCCACATGAAGAACGTTTATACGTTCAATAGTGACCGAAACTAATCGAATGTCAAATTGATAATGGCGTGTCTCACACACCTTGCAATTCTGATGATAAGAAACCCGGTTGCAGAGCCGTTGAATTACAATAATTGATTGAATGTTAGTTGTATTTACACCTACTTAGGCGTGGGTTTGTGCGTTTTATTGTGTACTGTTCAAATATAAATCATTTACAAGATGCAAAACGTGATATTAGTGTATTTTGTAGGTGTATAACCTAGACGTACAAGAGGTCATTCACACCTTCGGTATCTTCAGGAGTCGCAGATAAATCTGAGAAGACAAAGTGCTACGGAAATTGGAAAAACTGAAACTCATACAACGTGAAATAGGTAAGGTAAAATACCTCCAGTTTGCTATTCATTTCAAAGTATGTGTGATTTTGACTTGATTTTATCCAAAGATTGTGACTGACGCATCGAAAGTCACTGTCAGTGATTACTAACTAACTAAGATACGTATGGAGAAATACAATAAGGTATACTTTATACCTTTATCTCCTAATATTTCTCTAATAAGGAGAACTGTATCTACTACTATTACTTTACTTCCAAGAAATTTAGTCTCTCCCTCAGTAGGACTTTTCGGAAAACCTATGCTCATAAAGCCTTAGGTTACTTATTCAAAAACTTTGAGATGTAAACATACTGTGCCAATTTCAAAAATCGCCAGTGGGGATAAATCGAAAATGAAAAATATTACGAAATGGAGAAAACCCTTCAAGTTTTTTTTCGGCAAAAATTACGGAATGAACTATATTGCAACCTAAAAATAAAATCACTTCCCGTGTTAAAATTTCGTAATTTTTAAGAAAATCGTCTCTTCTATACAATTGCTGGGGTTCTAAATTTGGTGGTGCATCATGATGATTAGTTATGTTTAAAAAGGAACAACAAGCGACCGTCTAGTGGCCACCTGAAACCAAAATTCCTTACCGCCTTGAAATTTCGTAATATTTAAAGAAATTCGCTCTCGTTATACGTAACAAACTTCAATTGCGGGGGTTGTAAAGTTTTATGGTACTTTAAGTGTTTTCTTTTCCTTGGTCGGTTAATAATCTATAAGCAAGATACTTTCCCTCGCAACGGTAGCTTTCAATGTCGAATTAATTTTTTTATAGACAGTTAAAGTAGAAATTTTAATGGTTAGATCGGTTTAGACATTACATATCATAGGAAGTCCACAGAGTGCCAAAAATGAGAGGGTTACATTTTCCAATGAATTGTATGGCTGGGGAATTGTAAAAATCCATAAGTAATTTGTGGAATTAATGAAAGTCTTTTCTGCGTCATTTGATTTCTATAGTGCGTTGTCATCTTAATAGCTCTAGAAAGTCGCAGGTCATAAGGGGTAATATTAACTCAGCCGGGTTTTTGTTGCAAAAAGTAGCAATAAAATCACCTCCTATCTTGAAATTTCGTAATATTTAATAAAGTTGACTCTTATACACTGGGTGTATAAGGGTGTCTATCATGGGGATCTCCGAAACCTTAGAAGATGCGACGATGGTCAAATTAGAGAATATATGCGCAATTAAAAAAACTATCATCCTTAAAAAAAATACATAAAATTCCGATTACTTCCGAAGATATCCCAGAAAAACGGCAATTTGCCGGTTTCGTTTATATTTTGTCTGGTGATATTGGAACAGATACAAAAAATAAAAAATATTTAAAGAATCGGAGATATCCATGGTGTGATGAGACTCAAAATGGGATAGTGTATATTAGACACCGACAAAACACAAAACCTTCCCCATACTAATTTTAATAAACAAATTAATGAAGCAGCTTTCATTTTCAAGGCGTACTTTTTATAAGAATGGGTCTTATCACACCATGAATATCTCCGATTCATTCTACGCCCACCGAGCTAACCTTATCCATTCTTATAAACTTGGCCACCGTCTATTGCTACCTGCAAAAAATTTATTTCATATTTGAATTTTCGCAATTTTTCAGAAAAGTACGAGGAAAATTAGCTAAATTCGCTCTTGCATATATCAATTTATTGATTTGAAATCATCTGTGTTGTAGTCAAGAGTGGCAAATTTTACATCTTTACACGTATATTCCAGTAACCGCAAAAGACATTGCTATAATTTATACACATTGTAGATATTTTTATTCCCTTTCATTCTGTGTGACAGTAAATTATATCGTTCCTAGTTTTGAAGAAACCGGCAAACGTTTCAAATTTGGAGTGTAGCTATCAATCTTTAAAGCATTCCAAATTTTTGAAAAGCCACGAAGTAGAAAAGGTGAGTTTTTGACGACCACATTTAACCCTCTCCCCACCCCTTATTTTACAAGAGAGCATTATAATTTAAAATTCTCTAATTTGGGCATTTGGACTTTGCTACCTTTAAAAATTACCACAGACCCTACTTTGATTACTTTGTAAGATACAGCCTTATTTATTCACGAGGTACTTCACACAAGATATATAGGATATGAATTTTTCTAAAATGTATACATATGAATCATGTATTCTTTTAAAAACCCATGCATGCACTGATGACTATAGACAACCATCAACTCTATACGAAATAAAGCTCTGCAAAAGTCACGTGACGATTAGGTATAGCATAGCGCGCATTTTTCCAATTGCAAAAAATAGCTATTGTGGATACCGTCCGCCCATCCGTTTGTTTCAGTTAAAAAAAAGCACTGGCTGCCATTGAGTATGATGCGCTTTGGTGCATCATAGGTAACACTCCCTCTGATTAGACTTTATGGAGCGTGTAACAAATTAGTATTGAGTTACTACTGGATATTCTAAGAGGGAATAGTTAAATTGCCACTACTTGAATGCACAGCACGGTCTTTGCGGTTGGAGGAAAAACGAATCTGCACGTAGACCACCCACGGAACCTAACTTTAATTTGGTTCCCTTAACAGTGTATGAGGAATTGGCAGGCGTAATACGAGCGCAGCTTACAGTACAATAGGGACGAAACATATACAAATAAAGCCCATTCAATGTTTGACATATGTATACTCAACTCGTAAATTTTGTCACTCATCCAGGAAAGCATTGTGTTCGAGAAAAGCTTGATGCAGGAGGGCTCAATCAGTTTATGGACTACTTACTAAAATGTAGACTAATGGCAATCTTAAGCATTTACTGATCGCTTTATTACATTTAAAGCATCTGCCTTCAAGTAGGTTAAATATAATAGGAATCTAAAGAAGCAATGGTTCACTAACTCCGCTTAAAATTTAAATTAGAACGCAATAATTTGCATACTAAAGCAGCCCTGTGCATTGCGAGCTCTCGACACTGACGTACAAAATGCTTTTACTTACGTTGGAAAAGTGCATTCGTTATCTTTATTAACAAATTAGCGTCGGGCGTTAAATAAGCTACAATACAGTTGCCATTTTTATTTCTGTCATCAAAAGCCGAGCTTTCAAGCACTCGCGCCACTCACAATAAACTATTTCAAATGGCATCGTTTACATATCGCCTCACTAAGTGGATGTCTTAGAGTGGAATTAGTTGCTCGATCATTTTGCGCCGCGATTATTCGTGTCATCAATCATACGACAAAATTGATTTTCTTCCTTTAAATATGAGCTGCTTTAAAAGTACATGAAGATGGAATGCATAATGAGTTGTTCGGAGTATGTAGAGTACGCACAGATATCAGTGGTTTAAAGTTATGATGAGATTTATGATAAAATTCATGACCTACTACTTATAATTGCATAACTCTACACCGACGTGCGGATTCCCAGTTTCCTATTAAATTGAGGATTTATGTTTCGCAATGATAATATTAAAACCTGAGTTTATTCTGACTTTTGAAGCTGTAGAGTGCGCCTTTTCATAACTTGTCACTATATGTTATGTTAGTAATTATAAGCTCTCTTCCTTTACAGTAAACTTAATCGAAAA